CGGGGCCCGAGGGCTCCCGTCACCCAGCAGCTTCTTCCTCCCGGCCCCCAGGTCCCCTCCTCCAGCCTCTGCTTCCCCCCACCCCTTCCAACACACACTCCTCACTTCCTGCGCCCTGGGCTTCACAAGAGCTGCCCTTCCCCGCCGCGGAGCCCTCCCTCCACCCGGGAGTGCAGAGTGCGGCCCTGCCGGGCCAGGCCCCGGGGAGAGTGCAGACAGTTCGGTGGGTGGGCCCTGGCCCTGGCCCTGGAGCAGCTTTGGGGGTGCCCTGGCCCTCGTCCTGGCCCTGGCCCTCGCCCTGGCCCTGGAGCAGCTTTGGGGAGGCCCTCGCCCTGGCCTTGGAGCAGCTTTGGGGAGGCCCTGGCCCTCGCCCTGGCCTTGGAGCAACTTTGGGAGGGGCCCTGACCCTGGAGCAGCCTTCTGCAGGTTTCCAGCTTGTATCTCACATTGCCCTGGCCTTGAGTCCTTGAGTCGGGGAAGCCAGCCACTGTGGGGCCTGGGCAGCGGCCCTGTGGGGAAGACTGTATTGATGTCTTACATTCCACCAGAGTTTGTGTTTTTGCTATTTTCTGTTGGGGGTGGAGGCTGGTGAGAGGCAGCCCACTTCATCGGTAAGATAAAGTTCAGTTTAGATAGGGAAGGCGGAGGCCCTGTCTTACAGTCAACCTCGCCAAGAAGCTGTCTGTAAAGTTAACAATTGTTTTGTCTCAGCACAAACCCTCTCCTAAGTGACCAGTTCAGTGTATCGGATTTTCTCAGGAGAAACAACCTTGCATTCCACTCGCTTCCTCCCCAACACGCCCCTCCTCCTCAACTCAGAGCTTGTTATGAATGAGAATGGCCTCAGCCTTAAGCAAACTTGGGAAGAAAGTGAAAGGTTCCGGCTCCTTCCCCACCTGCCCCAGCCTGACCCTCCCAGATGTCCAGGGGCCTCAGGACATCCCACCGAGGAGGGGTACCATATACTCTCTCCTTCCCCTCCTCCCTGACCCCAATCAAGACAGCTGTCGTCTCAGAAAGTGATCTGACAAACTACTTCATACCTCTCAAGGACAGCTCCATGCAGAGGCAGGCAGACGAGACCTTCGCCCTAGGAAGTGAATTTCTAATGCCTCCAAGCACCGGAATTTCAGTGCCAGAGGCTGGAGGAAATATTGGTGGTCAAGGGAGATACTTTTAGGCAGCTGGTCTTAGGCCCCTCAGTGTACAGGCCATACCCTAAAGTTTAACTGACCCTGTGTGGTCATCGGGAGAGATGGGAACCCCCTTTTCCCTGCACCCCCACAACTTGCACATAGGTCTTCCCCTGGCCTGGGTCATCAGGTTAAGACCCCAGCAAGTTGCTTAACTCCTTGGTAAGGAGGGGGCATGCTGCTCTTTCCTGCCCTCTTCTGACAAAAAATAGAGTAGCAACCCTTATCTTGAAAAAGAAATTTAGAATGGTTTCTTTGGTCTGGAGTTAGAGTAGCTAACAATAGTCTCAGGTAAAGAGTACCCCCCTGCTTTCTTCCCTCTACTGGTCTGTTTTGGCTAACCTGCATTCTCCTATTCCTACTTTTCTTACTGGATTAGTTAGTTAAGCCAGTGCAAGGTTTTCAGAAACTATGAATGACTTTTGAGGTTCAATGAGCCCCCATTACAAACTTGTGAAATAATTGTAGTGTTGTTCAAGGGTCAGAAGGCATTCCAAGAGACAAGGAACTATGTACGGAACAGGGTCTTAAGGAGCTTGCTGAGCTATTTAGTAAATATTAATGAGTAGCCACTATGTGTGTGCCCCTGACCCCCAGGATGCTAATAGTCTAGTAGAGAGATGACTGCTAACCCAATGATAATAGAACGTGATAAGATGTGGTCATACACCGTGCGTTTGGAACGACTGTGGGAGATGTCACTCTAGTAAGGGCTGTGAACCTCACAACTAATTTTTATATTTTTTTTAATTGATTTTTTACAGAGAGAAAGGGAGAGGGATAGAGAGTTAGAACCATCGATGAGAGAGAAACATTGATCAATTGCCTTCTGCACACCCCCCTACTGGGGATATGCCTGCAACCAAGGTACATGCCCTTGACCGGAATCGAACCTGGGACCTTTCAGTCCGCAGGCCGACGCTCTATCCACTGAGCCAAACCGGCTAGAGCCCCACAACTAATTTTAAAAGAAGAGAAGACGGGGCAGCCAAGGCCTCAGCTTCAGTGTCACTGCTTCCTCTCCCTGTCGTAGTGGTCTTCAAAGCCTTCTTCTTGCCTTTGTTTCCTACACACAACGGGCAGGTGACTCTCCCTAAAACACTGCTCTGAAGCTGTCACGGCCCTGCTCCCCATTGCCTGCAAATGTATATATCTCCAGACTTCTTGGCTTGGCCTTCAAGGCTCCGAAACCTCATCAATCCATCCTTGCCCCAGACGCACTTTGCAGAGTACCTTCTGCAGGAAATGTCTTTCCTTCATCTCTGTCGAAATCTCACGCAGTTCTTCAAGTTTTAGTTCCCACGTCACCTCAGCCTTCTCTGTTCCAGCCTGTTGGAAGCGACTCCTCTTTTCCCGGAGGTCACTTTCCCACCGTTCCTGTGTGCTCATCTCACACTGCATCCTGCAGTTGAGCTACTCAGTGTGGTTTTATATCCTCTTCTCCTTTGTGGCACTGGATCTGAGACATCCTTGTCTTGCCGGTGACAGGTAGCATGGTGTTGTGTATGTAGCAGGAACTGGAGATACTTCCTGAATCGATTAGGGAGGAGATAGGGAGCTCTGTGGTGCAGTAAAGCATGAGGTTAGAGGGTGATGCATCCAGGAACCCAGCGAGGGCTTTGTGGAGCTGGTGCTTGGAGGACCTGAGTGGGGGCTGTTAGGGTCTGGCTGAGGAGTGGCCTGAGCAAAGATTCAGAGTAGAAATGAGCACCTTTGCAGAGGGACCACCTGATTATGTATTTTCACTCTGCAAACATTTACTCTGCAAGGAAAGAGAAGAAATGCCCTTTTGGGGCAGTTTTCAGGGCAAGTGGTTGTTATTACAATACCAGCCAGGCCTTAGAGATGGCGAGAGCACTGGGAAGGGGGAGGTGTAGGGCTTGCTCACAGCGGAGTCAGAGTCCCCCATGGCCAATAGGAGGAGCTGGAGGAGGCGTGGATGGGAGCAGAGCTAGCTAAAGAAGAGTCAGGGCTGCACAAGCCGAGCTTGGACAGAAGCGGCAGGTACCGTAGAAGTAAGGCACTTTCTTCACGTTATGCTACTGTCGCCCATCTGGCTGAACCGAGCCTGTGTGGCCTTGAACACAGCTTTCCGCAGACCCTCCGAGTCAGAGGGACCTGAAACTTCGTCTTTCACGTGTGTTCCAGCCGTGTCGTTTTGCTTTTGTTGATTTGGGGGTGTGCTCCCGTTTTCCTCTGCGTACCTCTGTTGTAGGATAACCATGTTGTGCTGAAATGATCTGTTTCTCTGGTGTTTCCACCAGCGTTCTTCGCTCCTCCGAGCCAAGGACTATGGAATCATGACCTGTGGCAGGGGCACAGTGATTCTAGCAGGGAGCGGGGTCTGGGAGTGACGCCACGACATGGTTGGCCATAGTTCGGATGTGTCCTGGAGGAAACGTGTTACTATTCCCTTTGAGAACCCACGATCACAGGGCCTCCCCCAGTCCTAGCACTGACCTGGCACTTAGTAGAGAGTGGAATGTCCGTTCCTGGGAGTGTGGGTGGCGGCGGAGCCGGTGATCACACAGGTTATGTCTCCGCAGTGGGAGCCCACCATCGACCTTCTGGAGGCGTTTGTGGAGCACTGGAAGGGCATCACGCACTATTACATCGAGAGCACAGGTGAGAGGAACTGGGAGGAAAGGATGGGCAGAGGCACCATGCAGCTCAGAGATGCAGGTGCCCCGGGGAAGGGACAGCTGCTGCCCAGGAGTTCAGAGTTCTACTTTCTGCGAGGGAGCTGTGGGAGGTGGGAGTGGGAACGAAGAGGATGGGGCTCTCGCGGGCCTCTCTGCAGGCAGAGGCTGAGCTCCACTTGCCCCAGCTTCCAGCCGGGGCATCCAGGCCTTCAGTCTTCAAGTGCCTGTGTTCAGGGCTTACTGATTGAAAACGAAATCGAACAGCCCTAGCCATTTTGGCTCGGTGGGTAGAGCAGACTGAAGGGTTGCAGGTTCGATTCCAGTCAAGGGCATGTACCTCAATCCTGGGCCCTGGTTGGGTCCCATGTGGGAGGCAACCAAGCAATGTGTCTCTCTCACATTGATATTTCTCTCTGTCTCACCCCCCCCCTTCCACTCTCTCTAAAAATTAATGGAAAAATATCCTCAAGTGAGGACTAACAAAAAGAAAGAAAGAAAGAAAGAAAGAAAGAAAGAAAGAAAGAAGGAAGGAAGGAAGGAAGGAAGGAAGGAAGGAAGGAAGGAAGGAAGGAAGGAAGGAAGGAAGGAAGAAAAGAAAAGAAAGAAAGAAGTTGAACAAATTTCTCTTTTCCCTGAGCCAACTTGGAGGGGTCAGAGGAGAACAAAAACCAAAGCATATAAATACCAGGTCCTTCTCCCCACGCTGACACACCAGGGAACCAAAGCCTAGGGCAGTGACGGCGAACCTTTTGAGCTCGGTGTGTCAGCATTTTGAAAAACCCTAACTTAACTCTGGTGCCGTGTCACATATAGAAATTTTTTGATATTTGCAACCATAGTAAAACAAAGACTTACATTTTTGATATTTATTTTATATATTTAAATGCCATTTAACAAAGAAAAATCAACCAAAAAAATGAGTTCGCGTGTCGTAGGTTCGCCATCACTGGCCTAGGGCGTCTGGGCCCATCAGGCTCGCTCACTGGGAGATGGAGTCTGATTGGTTGCTTTGCAGTCGGTGTGCTGGCGTCGGTGGATGCTCACTGGTTGCCGTGTAAACCTGTCCTGCACCCCTAGCCTTCCCCTCCTGGAGTTCAGATTGGGATTTGACTCCATCTTACACCGTCCTAAAGGCTTTATTTCCGGCCTGAGCTAGCCCAGGAAATGAGAAAGTAGCCTGGGACTGTCCGAGGGACCCCTGAAGCCTCTGTGAGAGCAGGTTCCTCGGGCTTGCACTGTGGACATTTGGCCGGGTCCCTCTTTGCTGTGGGGGCTGTGGGAGTGACTGTAGTATATTTAGCCCCAACTCTAGCCATCAGAGGCCAGTACCCTCCCTTTGTATGTGACAACCAAAACTGTCTCTCCGGACATTAACGAATGTCCCCTGGGGGACAGCACGTGCCCCCAGGTGAGAACAACAACTTTAGACTGACCCTCTCTCTTTTTTCATTGAAATATAATCGACATATAACATTATATTAGTTTCAGTTGTATAACATATTGATTCCAAATATGGGTAGATTGTGAAATGGTTACAGTGAGTCTCACTAATATCCATCACCATGTGTAGTTATTTTTTCCTTGTGATGAGAACTTTTACAATCATAGCAACTTTCAACTATACAATACGGTGCTGTTAACTATAGCCACCACTCTACGTTACACACCTAGGACTGATTTTATAACTGCAAGTTTGTACCTTTTAGTCTAAAGACCTCTTGACACAGAGCCACAGCTCACCAGGAGAGCAGTAAGGGATCCAGAGCCGACTCAGATCCATCTGGGGCTTTTCCTGGGCCCAACATTAATTTCCAGAACAGTCCCTATAACCAGAGGTACAGGAGTGGATGAGGCAGCTGCCTTGCTCAAGAGCCTGTGCTTTCAAGAAAAGCTAGGGGGTGCTCCAGTGCCAAAGTACCAAAACTTTCTCTTAAAAACCACTCCAGCCTCTGCAGCTCTAAGGCAGCCACACTAACCAGCTTCTCCATCGGGGTCTCTCTGTGGTGCCGCAGGTTTGAGTCTGAACCCAAGGTCGTGCACAGATTTCTTTTTCCTGCTTTTTAAAAAATAAGTTTTTATGATATTTAGAGAGAGAGGAAGGGAGAAGGATAGAGAGATGGAAACATTGATGAGAGAGAAACATTGGTCGGCTGCCTCCTGCGCACCCCTCCTGGGGATCAAGCCTGCAACCCAGGCACGTGCCTTGACCAGGGATTGAATCAGTGACCTCTTGGTTCATGGGTCGATGCTTAACCACTGAGCAATACCGGCCAGGTATCTTATTTCTGCTTTTTAAAAAGTAGAGTATTGCCTTCTGTGAGTATAATGTGTGTGTGTGTGTGTGTGTGTATGCATACTAGAGGCCCGGTGCATGAATTTGTGCTTGGGCGGGGCCTCTCCCAGCTGTCTCACCCAGTCCCAATCAGGACTGATCAGCGGCCGGGGGAGGGACCGTGGGAGGTTGGCTGTGGGAGTGCACTGGCCACCAGGGGGCAGCTCCTGCGTTGAGCGTCATAGCTACTGTCCGGTTGTCTGGTCATAATGGTCACTTAGGCTTTTATATATATAGATATGTCTATATATATATATAAATTTAATTTCAGGGAGGAAGGAAGAGGGAGAGAGAGATAGAAACATCAATGATGAGAGAGAATCATTGACTGGCTGCTGCCTGCTCGCCCCACCCTGGGAATAGAGCGGCAGCCCAGACATGTGCCCTGACCGGGAATCGAACCGTGACCTCCTGGTTCATGGGTCACGCTCAGCCACTGAGCCACACCGGCCGGGTTCTTTTGTGTTTTTAAATATGGAGGCATGAACTGTGAACTTCCGTTTCCTGTGGCCTTTATTGGGAGCAGACCGTTAACTTGGCCTCTCCTGCCCTCAGCCAACCCCATCCCCAGGCCCCTTGGACTTGACCCCGTAGAGCCAGAGTGCTCATCTTCTCCCCACTCACCCTTTTCCCTGAACCTGAGCAGATGAAAACACCCCGGTCAAGAAGACGGACATCCCCTGGCGGCTGAAGCAGATGCTGGACATCCTGGTGCACGAGGAGAGGCAGCAGGCGGCGGGCGAGGCCGGGCCCTGCCTCGAGTACCTGCTGCAGCACAAGATCCTGGAGACCCTGTGCACGCTGGGCAAGGCCGAGGTGCGGACCCGGAGCCTTCCGTCCCACCCGGCCCTGGTGCCAGGCTCTTCCCCCTGTGCTCCTCCAGCCCGGACACCGGGCACGGCTGGCTCAGGGCACAGCCACCACCGCCCCCGCTCACGGCTGGGTGACGTGGAGGTTGAGGAGAGGAGGCTCCCTCTTACTCAGTCAGCCTTCACTCAGCAAAGATGTGCTGAGGACCAGCCGTGTGTCAGGGGACGCGGCAGTGATTAGGACAAAGGAGCCCCCCTGTGTGCTCAGTGATGACAAGGTTATGGAGAAAAATGAAGTGGGAAGGGGACGGGCAGCACAGAGGGGGCCAGTTCCGACAGGGAAGGAGGCTTGCAGAGAAGGTGCCCTCCAGGCAGTGGAGGGGGGCAGTGCTCGGAGGGGCACGGCTCCCTCTCCTGATGGCCCTCTGCTCTGCCCCTCAGTACCCCCCCGGCATGCGGCAGCAGGTGTTCCAGTTCTTCAGCAAGGTTCTGGCCCAGGTCCAGCACCCACTCCTGCATTACCTCAACGTCCACAGGCCTGTGCAGGTGAGGGGCCAGGAAGCCAAGGGGTGTCTGGGGGTGCGGCCCCCTCTCTTCCCTGCCACCCATTCCCCTCTGTTTCTATCCTACTCCCCTTCCAGAAACTTCTCCGGCTTGGGGGAGCTCCCGGATCCCTCACAGAAAAGGAGGAGGTGCAGTTCACCACCGTCCTCTGCTCCAAGATCCAGCAGGATCCAGCCCTGCTCACCTACATCCTGGAAGTGAGTGTCTCTAGCAAACAGAAGCAGAGGGGCCCGGACCCCATCCCACAGAGGCACTCGGGGCGCCTCCCCTTCCGCTCCATGCCGAGCCCCTGACAGTTAGCACATCTGCGTTCCCAAGGGGCAGCGTGGGGAGTGGTCTCCACCAGGCCTGGCCTCACCTAGCCTCCTTTGCAGGGTAAAAAAACTGTCGCTCAGAAGAAAGCATCCCAGGAGTCCACAGCCCTGCCTAGAGAGACGGCCAGTATCGAGGACCAGGACCATCCCCACAGCAAGGCTCCTGACGGGGCCGGGGCCTTGACCGCCCAGCTGCCTGTTGAGCCCCAGGAGCCCGATGAGGGGATCGGGGAGAGCAACCTAATCACCTCCCTGGTTGGCTTGTGCAAGAGCAAGGTGCTGGACCGCGTGCATGCTGGGAGGAGGCTGGGGGACTCAGCTCAGGTGCATGTCCTGAAGTTGTGTCCCTGTCCCCTAGAAAGGTCGTGTGGCTCTGAAGGCCCAGGAGAACCTGCTGCTCCTCGTTAGCGTGGCTCCCCAGGCAGCCGCCACCTACCTGGTGCGGAGCAGCCCTTGTTGCCCTGCGATTGTGAAGCACCTTTGCCAGCTGTACCAGTCCTTGCCCACCTTTCTGGACCCCGCAGACATTGCTGCTTTAGAGGGCATCACCTGGAGGTAGGCACGTGGCCAGGGAAGGGGGGCTGCATCTGCAGTGGCTGGAAGCCCTGCCTGTCCTCTGGTAGCCGGTTCCTCTTGTTTTCCAGGAGGGATGGGGACCCCGGCTGGCACCTCCTTCCCAAGGTTACAGCCCACCCTAAGGGCCTTCTCACCCACAGAGAAGCATCACTTTTGCTTCTACCCACAGAGCTCTCTGTGGAACTGACCACCCTACCCTGTGCCCCGGCCCACCTCCCCACCTGCAACAGAGGTTCCAGGGCAGAGGGAGAAAGGGCCCAGCCTCCTCTGGAACGGCTGAGGCAGGCCTCACAGCCTCCCTCGCTCTCCCGCAGGCTACCCAGTGCCCCGTCTGATGAGGGTAACTTCCCAGGCAAAGAGGCCCTGGCTGCCTTTCTGGGCTGGTTCGATTACTGTGACCACCTCATCATGGAGGCGCACGCGGTGAGTCACGCTGCTGTCATCTCTGTCTCCTGGAGAACTGAGGGCTCTGCTGTTGTGTTGGATGCTGTGCAAGGACAGTTATTTTCGGTGGAAACGTGTTTAAGACGTGCTCTTTGGTGCCCAGGTGGTTGCGGATGCCTTGGCAAAGGCTGTGGCTGAGAAGTTATTCATGGAGATCCTGCAGCCGCAGCTCCTACACGTGTAAGTCTATGTCCAGGCCCCTCAGATGTGGACATAGTATGGATCGAACCGCCCACCCCGTCTGCCCCTTCCTGTCCCTACAGCCAGGGACCTCCTTAGCCAGCGTCCCATGAGTCTGTGGGCTCCTTCGGTTCATTTCGGACAGGCCTCCCCCAACACACACACGTGGCTGAGAGCCACTGTGGGCTAGCAGAGGCCTACGCCCTGGGACTCTCTGACCTCAGGAGGGTGGGAGTGAGCAGAGAGACACCAGCTGGCGATGTAAGGAAACCAGGAAGGGTTCCACCACCCTCCCACTCATCCCCTCCCTGTCCCTCTGGCCTCCCCTCCCTGCCTGGCTCAGTGTTCTGTCCACATAGGTCTGAGCAGAGCGTCCTGACCTCCACGGCCCTGCTGACGGCCCTGCTGCGTCAGCTCCGCTCCCCTGCGCTGCTTGGAGAGGCCGTGGCCTTCCTCCTGGGCTCGGAGCAGCGGCCGGCAGCCCCCGAGGACAGCCCCTGCACCCCGTGTGCTCACCTCATCAGGCACTGCGACCACCTCTCTGATGAGGTGAGGTGGAAGCCCTGGTCTCCACGCGCTCCCGCCCCACCCCTGCCAAAGGGATTTCCTGAGGTCTCCCACTTAACCCCTCCCCACCAAAAAGAAACAGTGATGGTAGCCAGCCGGCTCTTGTCACACAGTAGCTGTCTGTGATCACATACTTTCTATTCTGCACACCGCTTTTCCATTCATGGGACATTTTTCAGGCTACTGGCCACTCTGAGGTGGATGAGGCCAGTACTCCATTTTTCGGACATAAAAACCGAGGCATAGAAAAGCCCATTTTCTTGCCTATTATTGCACATCAAATTAATAATAGAACCAAGACCAGCCAGACTTCTGATTCCCAGGCCACCACCCATCCACTCCCCCCAAAACCTGCCAGGGAGGGGGGATCCCCTTCTAGGGGTCCTTTTCTTGTCTGGGTGAGCCGACTCCCAGGCACCCCCGGAAGCTGGGGCAGGAAGGGGCATCCTGCTGACCCCTTCTTGCCCCAGATTAGCATCGCCACGCTGCGGCTGTTTGAGGAGCTGCTCCAGAAGCCCCATGAACAGATCATCCGCAGCCTGGTCCTGTGCCACCTCGAGGGCCGCCTGTACGCAGCCCGGGGTTCCCAGGAGCCCGAGAGCTACGAAGACAATCTGTAAGTGAGACCCTGCGCCCCCGGGAGGCCCCGGCCCCACCCCAGCCCTCAGCACCCCACACTCGTTCTTTTGTTGGTTCCTCGGTGCCATGCATGTGTACCCTGGCCACAGAGACCTAGAGGAAGACCCCTACTTCACAGACGGCCTCCTGGACGCCGGCTTCCAGCCCTCGGCCAAGCCCCATCCAGCCCCCGCCACCAACTCGGATGGCAAAACGGCGGTAACTGAGATCGTCAACAGGTAGGGGGCAGGTCAGGAAGTCTGAGCCACGTGGGTTTGCTCCGTCTTTGGCCATACCCCTGAGGGGCGCAGCCCGGGAGGGGATGTCCCTCCCCTCCAGGAGGAGATGGAGCGGGGTGAGCGTGGCACCAGGGGGGCCCCGCCACACCGAGGGTCCTGTCTCTCAGCTTCCTCTGCCTGGTTCCCGAGGAAGCCAAGACCTCCGCCTTCCTGGAGGAGACCGGATATGACACTTACGTCCACGATGCCTACGGACTGGTGAGTGTTGAGGCCTCTGCCAGTGCCCACTCCTTGCCCCTCAAAGACTTCTCCCTCTGTAAGCTCCTCCAGGGCACTCCCAGCTCCAGCCACGAGCCCCGAGTCCACCTTCCTGTGTGGCCCACCGTGTGCCGGGGCCTCCCGACCACGGGCCTCCTCTCAACTCTCCCTCCTGCTCCAGTTCCAGGAGTGCAGCTCCCGAGTCAGTCCCTGGGGCTGGCCCCTGGCTCTCACCCCTCTGGACCCCCACGAGCCGGAGCGGCCTTTCTTTGAGGGGCACTTCCTCCGAATGCTGTTTGACCGCATGTCCCGGATTTTGGAACAGGTAGCCAACAGGACTGGGCCCCAGCCAGAGGGTGGGGCCCACAGTGGCACCCCAGGTGGGTGCCTCTGGAATCCTTCGGAAGAGCAGGGCCTGGCCACGGGGGTCGAGTTGTCTTCGGTTCTTCAGCTCCATGCCCCCCGCCCCCCCACCTTTCCCCAGGCGGGAAGCCCCGTCTCGCCTCTGCTCCACACGCCCTAACATGTTCTGGCCCTCAGCCCCAGGGATCCATGACACACACACATCATGTGAGCCTCCCACCCCCGCACACGTTCGCACTGGCCAGGCGCCTTTCTGGGGGAGTGCAGAAATGCTCACCGCCCCCTGACAACCGTTGGTTTGTCCACCGTGTTCCCTGCAGCCATACAGCCTGAACCTGCAAGTGACCTCAGTCCTGTCCCGGCTCGCCCTGTTCCCTCACCCCCTTATCCATGAGTACCTCCTGGACCCCTACATCAGCCTGGCCCCCGGCTGCAGGAGCCTGTTCTCTGTGCTTGTCCGGGTAAGGACGCCTGGCAGTGTGTCAGTGCTGGGCAGGAATGGAGGGGACAGGACAGGGGCTTGGGAGCTGAAGATGTGGGGACCCGAGTCAGTGCCAGGGGAAAGCACAGGTACCACCCTGCCATGGTGCAGCAGAGCCATGGGACCTCGCTTGAGTGTCACCGGTCCCCACCTCAGTCCTCTTGTTCCTGCTCTAGGTAATCGGGGACTTGATGCAGAGAATTCAGAGGGTACCCCAGTTCCCAGGCAAACTGCTCCTGGTGCGCAAGCAGCTGATGGGTCATATTCCTGGGGAGCAGTAAGTAACCGAGAGAAGTGGGTGCCTGGGGTAGAGCCCTGGGTGGGAGGGCAGGTCCTTCAGGGTGGGGAGGTGCCAGGCCTTGGCGCAGAGGGCCCGTTGCTGAGCTCTGTTCTCACTCAGGGGTCTGCCACTGGGTTATGCCTTAGGGACCCTGGGAGGTCACACTGGGGGCACACCCACTGCCTTCCAGCCATGACTCTGTGCTCTCCCCTCAGGCTGGACCACCAGACCCTTCTCCAGGGAGTGGTGGTACTGGAGGAATTCTGCAAGGAACTGGCTGCCATTGCTTTTGTCAAGTTCCCCCCACAGGGTCCTCACCTGCACCTCCCCCCACCCCTGGAAGGGCACGTCTGAGCCTCCCGGGAGGGGAGGCTCCTGTTCTCACCTCTGCCCGGAGCGGCCTCCCCTCCCGCCTGGCACAGCCGCCGCCACCCTTCTCCCGGGGCAGGGGCTTGGCTCTGTCTCCTCTGTATCCGGGGGCCTCTGCCTCTGTGGAGGCCTGGGCTTCGGCTCCCAGTTCACCTCAAGGAGAACTTGCCTTGTTGGCTACACTAGGCTGGGCTTCAGGAAGTGGGTCTCCAAGGTACCAGAGCCAAGGAGCAAAAGAGGTGGCCTCCCGGGCAGCATGGTGTCTTCCCAGGGGAGCTGGGTGACGGCCAGGTGAGCGTCGGAATCCAGACCCTCCTGTGTTCTGGGACTGTCACCTGTCTCCACAGGCCATTTGTGGCCGAGGCCAAGACCTGTGATTCAATCCCGGTGGGCACAGCGGGTGTGAGCTGACGGCTGCAAGGGCTGGTCAGGACTGTAGGTCAGACAGATGGGGGCATGGGAGCCCAGACTCTGTCACACTAGGTACTAAGACTTGACATTTTTTTTCTCTGGGCTTCTTGACTTAACCCTTGTGGAAGGGGCAGTGGATGGCAGGGTAGCCCATTCTTGCCTGGCCCTCCCGGAGACTGTTGCAAAATCCCCAACCGCCTCATGGCAAATGGCCAAAGCATGCTCCGCGCCCAGGCGGGGGCAGCTGCTAATGAGAACCTTGATGCAACTCCACCAGGGCGGGAGAGGGCCTGGGGAGCCGGGGGCTGGTGCCAGGCTCCAGCTCCAGCTGGTTTCTCTGGCGCCTTCTGAACCCGTCTCAGCAGGTCCACAACACCTGGGCAGAGGGGCTCGAGACCGGGGGAGGCCAGGCCCAGCCCACAGTGTTCTCGATGGAATGCCCTTCCAGGGGAGCGAGGGAGCTCAGGGTACAGATGAGGCCAGGAGGCCCACCTGACTGCAGGCCCCAAGGCCTGGCAGGGAGGGGCTGGGGCACAGGCTGCAGGCCTGGTGTTCTCCCTGCATGCCCTCTGAGGCTGGGGCTGCCACCCCACCCGGCCCGAATCTGTCTCGACCTGCAGGAACACACAGGCGGCGCCAGGCATTACCTCACAGCAGGACTGCAGTTGCTGGCTTTGCTCCTGGGCAAGGAGGAGCAGGCCAGAGCCCCTTTTGCTTCCTTTTCCTGCCCATGCCGCTTCTGGAAGCCAGCTGCGGGTTGCCAAGAGGTGACATGAAAGAGGAGGAAACTCAGTGACCTCTACCTCTCCCACATTCCTCCAAGCTGGGGAGGACTGACCCGCCGTGCTGAAGGACAGCGGGCGTGTGCATGCATGCGTTGTGCACACGTGGGTGTGGGAGTGGGATGGGAGCAAGCTCAGTGGGCAGACTGGGTCTGGACTCTCTGATTCTGAAAATGTTCAAGCGTCCAGGAGTCGCAAACACTCCCCTCCTCGATGCACTTTGGCATTCTCGTGGTGTACCCCCCGGACACCACGGCAATAAATGGTGTGGTTGCGTGGACACAGCTGCCCTGTTCTTCTCCACCCTTCTCGTCCTTTCTGCCGAGGGCTCCACTGCTAATTTGGGCCCATCTTCCTCCCCAAGTAAGACAAATTAAGTTCCTTTTTCAGCACTGGAGTGGAGGGGTTGGCGGTAAACAGTTGACAGGCTCTGGCAGGGCAACTCTGACGTTCCTCAGCGCCTGCCAGGAACAGCGGCTCTTGGCCAGGCAACACTATTTCTGCTCAGTTTGCCCACAGCTGAGGGCTGGCCAGCCTCAGAGACACCCTGGGGGAGTGGGCCATCTGCAGCATCTGTGTACAAGTCTCACGCTAGGTGCTTAGGTTGTGAGCTGTATGACTGCTTTTGTGGTGAACCGTGGGCCTGCTGGTTTAAAAACCTTGTCCCTAAATGTACGTGCGTGAAGCCTCTGAGGGAGTCACCAAGAATGCGCCAGGGCAGGGCAAGCTGAAGACCGACAGGGTTCTCACCTCAGCGCATTAGAATCACTTGGGTGGCTTTTTTAAAACACCAATGCCCCAGCCCGGAGGACCCTCCGTGAGATAAATCAGTGCCTCTGGGCTGGCCCAGAGTTGTTTTTAAAGCTCTCCAGGTGATTGGAATGGGCACCCACGCTTGGAAACTACCATAGGCTAAATAATGGGCACAGCCCTAGCCAGTTTGGCCCAGTGGATAGAGCCAGGGTCCCAGGTTCGATTCTGGTCAAGGGCACATGCCTGGGTTGTGGGCTCGATCGCCAGTAGGGGGCGTGCAGGAGGCAGCCAATCAATGATTCATTGTTTCTATCTCTCCCTCTTCCTCTCTGAAATCAGTAAAGAAATATATATTTTTTTAAAAATATCACTGCCCTTTGACGTGAATATGGACTGCTGGGTCCCTCAGACACTGAGAGAAGTGGGAGGGAGTGAAAGGGTTCTGCTGCATCTTAGGAGGTATTTATCCTCGGATGGACAGGAGGATTCCTACCACAGACAGCCCCACAGGCCAGAAAGAAAGACAAGATGGTGGCCAAGAGAGGCAGGCAGCAGCTGGGGGCCCTCGGGTCCCCTGGTCCTTCATTCAGGGCCAGAGTGTAGCTACTTCAGCAAGGAAGCCCAACCAAGTGTTTCCCAGCTCGGAATCAGAGATCTAGACTTCAGATGCAGTGAGGAGCACACAAGATATCTTCTTTGTTCATTCCTTTTAGTTTTCCTTTAAATTTTAGTAAAGTTCATTCCTACTATGATTCAGCTGGGCTAAGGGGAAATGAGAAGATTTGGGTTTGGTTTGGGCTAGAGTTATAAAAAGGCAGAGGCAAGAGCCAGGGGCCCAGCAGCAGAATGGGGAGGGATCAGCTCAAGGAGAAGGAAATCCAGGCCTGGGCAGCTCCTGACTCCTCACCTACCCGAAGCTTCCCTGGCATTCTCACTGCTCAAAACTTGGAGGGGATGTGGTCACATCCTACCCGGCAGACAAGACGAAGAGGTTCTCAGTGTGCCCGAGACAGGCCGAGGTGGACAGCAGGAAGCCTGCCTGCTCCTGGCTCCCAGCACCCAGGCTGGCCCCTGCTGTGTCAGCCTGCGGTCTGGCAAGGCCTCGGAGGGACAAGGGGAGGAGCTTCTCTTCTGAGAGCAGTCCCCCCTTCCTGCTCACTTGCTCCCCACAGAGACATTTAGGCAGGAAGGCAAAGTAAGCAACACCTATTTACTCAGCAAGGGACACAGTCCTTGGAGTGACCTCCCCCAGAACCCCCTTCATATTCCAAGTGCCTGAGAACCTGGTATAGAAGAGAAGATGCTGTCTCGGATTCAGAGTGTTCCCATATCCCCTTGAGCTCTGGACTCCTTGCTTGGTTACAGGCACTGTCCCTTCTGGTGCAATGTAGGGACCTGCTCATGGTGAGGAGAGATGGAAGTCCCCCTGAGAAGCAGGAGAACTATCCTGCTCCCGATACAACAGGATCCCTGATTGCCAACCTCCTGCCTCCCTAAGAGGGAGGGGAAGCCATGTGGAGGGAGCACAGACAGCAGCTCCGTGTCTACTTATGGCACCTTTCTATCTGTTGACTGGGACAACAGATGATTCCTGAAGCCTCTGTAAGAGCTGGCTTTGTAGGTCTTCCTCCATCACCTTCCACCAAACAAAGTTCTCACCCCGAACCTCTGGGGGCTCATTTTGGATACCTGGGTTCCGAAAAGCCACTGTCACCAGCACATTCAGGCAGATGCCATCCGTATGGCCTTTGCCCAGGTGCTGTAGCCCCAGCAACCCCTTGGTCTCCACTGCCAAGTGGTGCAGAGTCAGACACTCCTGTAGCAGCCGCAAGATGGCCATGTTGATGCCACCCCTCTGCTCCATTGGGGTGAAGCCACAGGCAGTGATGGGCAAGTGAGGCGCCCCCACTGTGCCTACCAACACCCACACTGTCTGGGTGGCCACACTGGTAAAGGTGGCCACGAGCCGCTGACAAACCAGACTGCAGGGAAGCTCTTGGGGCAGAATGCAAGGGTGCCTGGCCTGATGGCGGTACTGGGCAGCCAGTTCAATCAGGTGCAGAATGTCATGGGCTCGCAGAGGAGTGGCCAGGGAGGTTCGTGGGTACCAGCCAGCCTGCAGGGACTCTGCATCTGCCTCCTTGGAAGTCTTGAGAACTCCACCTGGGGGAGAGGTGGGGGAAAGGGTCTGTGTTGAGAGAAGTGCTAGGCCTGGCAAAGTGAACGGCCACCGAGGCACTCTAACCCTGACTCGGAGGCTGGAATCTGGAGATGCCAGGCTTCTACCAGCCAGAATAGGGGCTGATCTCACCTGAGGACAAGCAGGGGGAAAGCTATCAACTGCCCCCTGCCCGCACTGCCACCAGGTGTGCTGTACTAGTACCTGTGGGCTGAGCAAGGAACGCGAAGCGGATCCAGGAGGGGCCCCGCTCCTCCACAGACAGCAATGTCAGAGGCTCGCAGTGCAGCCCGGCCTCCTCCTTCACCTCCCGCTGCAGGGCCTCCACGATGGTCTCCCCAGGCTCCATTCTCCCCGCAGGCAGGTACCATGACCCATAGCATTCTTTCTTGGCCTCCTGGATCATTAGCACCTCATCCTGAGGGGAGAGAGAAAATCCTCACCCTCACACAGCCAGGCTGGGATCTCCAAAGGAGGGGCACAGCCAGCAGCCTTCCCCCGCCCTGGGGCCAGATCATATCTCAAACACAGTCACCCAGTACCCCCTTACTAGTGGATACCCTCAAACCGCTGAGCTTTCCTAGGGAATGGCCCCTGAGTGGCTGCCAGCTACCGCTGTCCCTCTCTGCAATGTACCCCTTTGCATTCGGACTTCCATTGCAGAAAGGGGCTGAGATTCCTGGGAGCTGCTTCAGGGGCTGGGGATCAGACCCCACAGTGGGGGTTGCCATGTGTCCTGCACTGTCCGCATATGTTACTGTTATCTCTCCCCTCCCCTCTTGTTTTGCAAACTGCTGTGGCCTGTCCTCACACTGAAGTCTAGGCTTTGAAACATGCTCCCACCGACACCCCCTATAACTCCTACCTATGGCCTTGGCCCCTTCTAGCTGTTGTCACAGCAACTTGTACTGAGATCAGCACCAAAAAGAGCATCGCACAGGAGCGAGGTCTGAATGTAAGCACAGGTTGTGCCCTTACTGCCCGTGGGACCCAGGGGAGGTCCCTGCAGCGCTGAGCAATCTTGGAGAGCGCCCACTCCGCCAGCCTGTGCTAGCTACACTGCGGGAAGGGAAGAGGAATACGAGCGCTCCCCGTTAGGAGCTGAGGCCTAGTGCGATGAGACAGACATGCTCCTGGACTCGGTTTCCTCCTCTGTGCGTCTGACAATCGCAGGGTTCAGGGTTCGGCGCACAAGGCTCAGTGGTCAGTATGACGGTGCTTTGCAAAACTGGGAAGCGCCACCCACAAGGCAGCTCTGGGTC